AACCGAAGAAACAAAATTTTATAGCGTGTGTGTGTGTGCATGCACGCACGTGTGAGGAGTTGGTTCTTTCCTTCTGTCATTCGGGTCTCTGGCCAAATGCAGGTCTTTTGATGGCAAACCTCTTTACCAGTGAACCAGCTCCTGCCCCTAGCCCATCATTTTTGTTTGTTTGTCTTGTTTTTCCAGACAAGGTTTCTCCGTGTGGCACCTACCTGTCCTAGAATTCACTCTGTAGACCAGGCTGGTCTTGAACTTACAGAGATCTGCCTGCCACTGCCTCTGCCTCCTGAGTTCTGGGATTAAAGACATGGGCCACCACTGTTCAGCCCATAATTTTTTTAACCTTAATTTTGTCACATGTTAAAATTCCAATTTTCTTTTTTATTTTTATTTATTTTTATTTTTTTTAAAGATTTACTTATTTATCATGTATACAACATTCTGCCTCCATGTATACCCGCATGCCAGAAGAGGACCAGATCTCATTACAGGTGGTTGTGAGCCACCATGTGGTTGCTGGGAATTGAACTAAAGACCTCTGGAAGAGCAGCCAGTGCTCTTAACCACTGAGCCATCTCTCCAGCCCCTAAAATTCCAATTTTCTTTTGGATTCTCTTTCCTGATTGTTCTCTTCCCTTCATGGCAGGAGTTCCCTGGAGGCCAGCCCCTGGGGAAAGATGATACAGGGCATTCATGGGCAAGAGTTCTTAGAATCAGCTCTTACAGTAAAGAAGGGAAGAAAACAGGACAGAAGGCCTTTCAACTGCAGGCTGTTCTTCGGTTGTTCTGAAAACACCTTTAAGATAATGGTAGCATGCCTTAAGGAGTTTTGTGAGGAGCCTGACATTCCTGGTCAGACCAGTCCTTGGCATGATGTTATCACTATCCTGAGGATCTGGGAGCCAACCCTGTGGTTAGTTGCCTTCTGGTTATTTATGGTAGAGGACAGGAGAGCTCACAGAGCCTCAAGGCAAAGTATGTTGTTGTCTCTTCCAGGGAAATGTGAACTGTTGCTTCTCTCTGCAGAATAGGGGAGAGTGTGGCTTCCCATCAACTTTCTGTAATTTGAGTGAGCTAAAAATTAAATTGGCATAAAACTGGAGAGTCAAAGGGTAACTGCTAACAGTTTCTAGGCCATCCCGGGCTACGTGATAAACTCCTGCCTGGCCTGGAAGAAAGAAAGTAAGGAACAAAGAGCAGGAACTAGTAAAGCAGCTGGCGTGGCAAGCCCACCTCTGCGCACAGCTGGCGTGGCAAGCCCACCTCTGCGCACAGCTGGCGTGGCAAGCCCACCACTGCACACAGCAGCTGGCGTGGCAAGCCCACCACTGCGCACAGCAGCTGGCGTGGCAAGCCCACCACTGCGCACAGCAGCTGGCGTGGCAAGCCCACCACTGTGCACAGCAGCTGGCGTGGCAAGCCCACCACTGCGCACAGCAGCTGGCGTGGCAAGCCCATGTCTGCGACCCCAGCATTTAACAGGCAGCAGCAGGACTGGTGCCAATTCAAGGCGAGTTTGGTCTTTATAGCCATCTACAAAATGTAGTAAGACATTTTGTCAGAAGAAGGAGAAGAGGAAGAAACTAAAGAAATACAAAATAATTGTATAATACTGAAGATGGACAAAGCTGTTGGTTCTGACATCAAAGATTTTTAAAAACTCAGGCCTGTAATCCTAGCTGTTTTGGGAGGCTGAGGCAGGAGGATCACAAGTACAAGGCCTGACCAGTTAATTTAGTGAGAATCTACCAAAGAGAGAGAAAGATACAGCTCAATAGTAGAACTGTTGCTTAGCAAGTGTGAGGCCCTAACATTAATCTCCTGTGTCCCCAAAGAAGTCATATATGAGCCTTTAATCCCAGCACTCGAGAGGCAGAGGCAGGCAGATCTCAAAAAAGGCAGAGTTCAAAGCCAGCCTGATCTACAGGGTGAGTTCTAGAACAGCCGTGTCTACACAAAGAAGATTTTTGGTCTTAAAATCAAAAGAAGAAAGAAGTCACCATATACGCATACGTGAATAGGGTGGAAGTTTCCTGTATTGCCCAGGATGCTCTGGAATTTATGGTTGGCCAGAGTGTCCGATTACAGGTGTGTGACATCACACCTGATAAGGAGCAGGCTTTTGTGCACCAAGCCCGAAACCTGAGTTCTACTCCCTGAACCTACAAAGGCAGAAGGAGAGTCGATTTCTGCAGGTTGTTCTGTGACACACAAGCCGTGCCATGAATGTATACACACACAAAAATAGAAAGTAAATAAACGCAGTATTTTAAATTTTTACTTGTTTGTTTGGTTGTTCGGGACAGGGTTTCTCTCTGTAGCCTTGCTGGCGGGAGTGCTGTTTAAGTAAACTAGGTTAGCCTAGAATTCTGCCCTTTTTGCTCGTTTATTTATTTATTTATTTATTTAGGATTTTTGAGACAGGGTTTCTCAGTGTAGTCCTGGCTGTCCTGGAACTCACTCTATAAACTAGACTGGCCTCAAACTCACAGAGATCCGCCTGCCTCCCGAATCCTGGGATTTAAGGTGTGTGCTACCACTGTCCGGCTGCTTGTTTATTTTTAAAATTTAATTAATTAGTTAGTTAATTTTGAGACAGCAGGTCTTGTAACTCAGGTTGGCTTCAAAGTGGCTATGTAACAATAATGACCTTGATTCTCTTGCCTCAATTCCTATAGTGTTGGGATTATAGACCTATGCTATCAGGCCCAGTTTATGTTCAGGTTGTTTTGATCAATATTGTGTAGACTCAGTACGGTGTTGCTGGTATAGGGGTAGGCATAGCTGTCTTCTAATTCTGTCTGAACAATAATGATAAAAACCCAATCCAGAAAAAAAATTAAGCCAGGTAGTGGTTCGAGGCCAGCCTTGTCTAGTTCCAGGACAACAGGCTCCAAAGCTACAGAAAAACCCTGTCTCAAAAACAAAACAAAACAAAACAAAACAAAAAAACCTCACAAAGCTACAGAGAAACTCTGTCTCGAAAAACCAAAACAACAACAAAAAAAAAACACAAAAAAATAAAACCCAACCCAGAAAATATTTAATGTAGTCATATTAGAAGATATAAAAGGGTAAATATTATACGTGTACATATTTTTTGTACAAAAGTATATCAACAAAAATCTTTTATGCTGAGTGGTGGTGGCTCATACCTTTAATCCTAGCACTCAGAAGGGAGAGACAGAGGCAGGTGGCTCTCTGTGAGTTCAAAGTCAGCCTGGTCTCCAGAATAAGTTCCAGGACAGCAAGGACTACACAGAGAAAGTCTATTTTTAAACAAAACAAAAAGCTTTTATTGTTTTGTGTTTGTTTGTTTGCAGGGTCTCTTGGAGCCCAGGCAGGCTTGGAACCCCCGACTAGCAGAGGCTAGCCTCCAATGCCTGACTATCCTGCTTCTATTTCCCACCACAGCCATGCACAATGCCAGGCAACCAAACTCTCTTTTAATTGAGATATAACATATTAATATATGAGTAATATTTTGTGGAGGAAGAGTACTTATAACACACATCCAGGGCCAGAGAGACGGCTCAGCAGGTGAAGGTACTCTCCACATAGCCTGATGATCTGAGTTCAAATCCCCAAACCCACCACGGAAGGAGAGGACATACTCCCAAAAGTTGCCCTCTGACCTCCACGCACCTGACACACACACTGTAGCACACACACACTTATACTCACATACATACATACATACTCCATACTTTGAGTTTTGATTTTGAACTTCTGGTCTTGCTGACTCCAACACATGAGTGGTAGGATTACAAGCGTCACCATGTCTAGTTTTATACTGTGTCAGGATCTAGCCTAGGGCTCTGTGTGTGCTAACCAATTAATTACTTTACCACCTGAACTGCATCCCAACCTTCTATCTCTACTTTTTATCACACATAATCACTTCAAGAAATCGTTTTCGTTTGTTTGTTTTTGAGACAGGGGACAGGGTTTCTCTGTAGCTTTGGAGCCTGTCCTGGAACTACACTTCAAGAAATCTTAAAGCTCAGATATTGCCAAACAAAGAATGAACTTTGTGCACAACACAGGTACTGTACAAGTAAAGAACGTGAAGAACGATGGCTGGATTTTTTTTTTTTTTTTTTTGGTTTTTTGAGACAGCTGTCCTGGAACTAGCTCTTATAGACCAGGCTGACCGTGAACTCACAGAGATCCGCTTGCGGTGGCTAGAATCTAAAATTCTCTTCTATACATGAAGACAAAAAAACTCCTGTCCTAGCATGTGGTGCATGCCTTTAATCCCAGCACTTGGGAGGCAGAACCAGGCTGATCGCTGACGTCAAAGCCAACCTGGTCTACACAAGAGTTTTAGGACAGCCAGGACTACACAGAGAAATCCTGCCTGGAAAAAGAAAAGGAAAAGGAAAACTCCTGTCCTTCCCATTGTCTTTCTTCTTCATTACCCCAGAAACTAAGTCCAGGCCCAGCTCCAGGAGGCAGGCTAGCAAAGATCTTTCCTTAAGTCACAGTCCTTCCCACACCCTGACAAAGCACCTGCTCACACAGACTGTGGGAAGGCTCACTAGTGCACAGCTGCAGAGGTGTCGGTCCATGGTCACCTGGCTCTGTTGTTGCTGTGCCCACGCATCCCGAGGCAGAACATCACGATGGGGACAGTGTGGCGAAGCAAAGCAAATCACTTCATGCTGGAGAGAAGGCCGCAACCCGGCAGAGGAAGCTGGAGGAAGGATGTACGTTCCAGGCACTCTTCCGAAGAGAGCTACTCTCTCAGATGGGGTGCACATCCTGCTTTCTTTCTTGTCCTAAGAATGCCATTAATTGGGGCTGGAGAGATGGCTCAGAGGTTAAGAATACTGACTGCTCTTCCAGAGGTCCTGAGTTCAATTCCCAGCAACCACATGGTGGCTCACAACCATCTGTAATGAGGTCTGGTGCCCTCTTCTGGCATGCAAGCATACATGGAAGGAATGTTGTATACATAATAAATAAATAAATAAATCTTTAAAAAAAAAAGAATGCCATTAATTTGAAGTGGCTTTAATTAGATTAATCAATGGATTAACCTGTTGATGAAGTCAGAGCTCTTATGATCCAATCACTTTCTAAAACCCCATCAGCAGTCAAGCCTGTGACACAGGGCCCTTCGGGTGGCATTTTAGATCCAAGTCATAGCATTTTTGTATAGTTTGAATGAGAACAGCCCCCACTGGCTCAGATATTTCAACACTTGGTCCCCAGCTGGAGAAACTCTTTGGGAAGGATTTGGAGGTGTGGCCTTGTTGGAGGAGGTGTGTCACTGGGGGTTGGTCTTTGGGCTTCAAGAGCCTCCACCATTCCTAATGTGCTCCCTCTGCCTTCTTGTTCAAGATGTGAGCTTTCAGCTGTCTCTTCCCTCCACCATCATGGACTCTGGCCCTGAAATTAGACATTTTCTTTTACAAGTTGCCTGAGGCATGGTGTTTTATCACAGCAATAGAAAAGTGACCAAGACAATTTCCCCCAAATAAATAAAAGATGAGGGCATTGTGGCACACACCTGCTGTGGAATGTTCCCTTACACTACACGAATATATGTTACTGTGATTGGCTTAATAATGAAGCTGGCGGGCCAATAACTGAACAGAAAAAGGTTAGGCAGGAGAGCCAGACCAGGAGAACGCTGAGAGAAAGAAGGGCAGAGTCAGGAGAGTCAGAGGAGACACAAGTCAACCACTGAGGAAGCAAAACAGAGAAAATGAAGTAACAAGCCATGAGCTACATGGTGAGGCATAAATAAGAAATATGAGTTAAATTTTTAAAAGATTGGGGCTGGAGAGATGGCTCAGAGGTTAAGAGCACTGACTGCTCTTCCAGAGTTCAATTTCCAGCATCCACATGGTGGCTCACAGCCATCTGTAATGAGATCTGGTGCCCTCTTCTCGCCTGCAGGCATATATGTAGACAGAACACTGTATATATAATAAATAAATAAATAAATATCTTAAAAAGATTTATTATTTATTATGTATACACTATTCTGCCATCCGAATTGGCCTCTTCATGAGGTAGATGTTCAGTTCCTGGGAATTGGAACCCTATCTCGTGTAAAACAAAGCACAAGATGGGTGAAATGCATAGGGCCTGAAGGGCAAATAGGAAGATTAAGGCCATATATAGCAAATATTGCAATAAATTTATGGGGCCGTGACCTGCTACAGCAATGGAATACCCAGATTAACATTCCTGTAGTTCCAGGAACTCACAATTCTGGAAAGGATATAATGAGGTATTATGGAAAAAGGTCACCAGCCATTCAGGCTGTACAAAAACACACAGCCAATAGCAAACCTTTAGAGGTACCAACAGCCCTACCTTTAAAATGGCTAACTGAGAAGCCAATATGGATCAAGCAGTGGCCTCTAGCTGAAGATAAGTTACAGGCTTTGGAACAGCTGGTACAAGAGCAACTAGATGCTAACCATATTGAAGAATCAACCAGCCCTTGGAATTCTCCTGTGTTTGTTGTAAAAAAGAAATCTGGTAAATGGAGAATGGTGACAGATCTAAGAGCTGTCAACAAGGTAATTCAGCCTATGGGTCCGCTACAATCTGGAATTCCTTTGCCTTCTCTATTACCAAGAGGATGGCCTCTTATAGTTATTGATTTGAAAGATTGTTTTTTCACTATACCTTTGCAAAAAAAGGATAGAGAAAAATTTGCCTTCACAGTGCCTACTTATAATAATTCTCAGCCTACTAGGAGATATCAATGGACTGTCCTCCCACAGGGGATGCTCAATAGTCCCACATTGTGTCAATATTTTGTTAATAAGCCACTGGAAATAATTCGTAAGCAATTTCCCAAGTCCATAATTTATCATTACATGGATGACATTTTATTATCTGATTCAAATAAAGATATTTTGGAAAGTATGTTTGAAGAAGTAAAGAAAGTTTTGCCTAGGTGGGGATTACAAATTGCCCCTGAAAAGATTCAAAGAGGAGATTCTATTAATTACCTAGGCTACAGAATAGGGTTAGAGAAAATTCGAACACAAAAGGCACAAATTAGGAGAGACCGGTTACGGACTCTTAATGACTTCCAAAGATTGTTAGGAGATATTTCCAGTCTACGACCAGCTGTTGGGATAACACCTGATCTAATAGTTCATTTAAACAAAACCTTAGATGGTGATAAGGATTTGAATAGTCCCAGAAAATTGACAGTTGAAGCAGAAAAGGAACTGACAATGATTGAGGAAAAATTACAGGAGGCACATGTGGATAGGGTCAACCCGAATCTTAGTTCCATCCTAGTCATACTGCCTTCCAGAATTTCTCCTACAGGGATTTTAATGCAGAGGGAAGATATTATTTTAGAGTGGATATTTATACCTCATAAACCAAGTAAAAAATTAAAAACTTATGTAAAAAAGGTTTCAGAATTAATTATAAAAGGTAAACTGAGACTTCGTCAACTAGCAGGTATAGACCCAGCAGAAATTATAGTGCCTTTTACTACTGAGGAAATAAGAAAGTTATGGGAAGATAATGAACCATGGCAAAGAGCTTGTGCTAATTTTTTGGGAGAAATTAGCAGCAACTATCCCAAAAGTGATAGACTTAACCTCATAAAGAGAACTTCTTGGATTCTTCCTAGAATTGTACGTGATGCTCCAATAACTGGAGCTCGGACATTTTATACCGATGCAAATAAATCAGGGAAAGCAGGTTATAAATCAGAAGAATTGAGTAAGGTGGAACAAAGCCCTTATAATTCTGTCCAGAAGGCAGAATTATATGCCATTCTTATGGTGCTAAGGGATTTTAAAGAACCTCTTAATATAGTTACAGATTCACAATATGCAGAAAGAGTTATCTTGCATATTGAAACCGCTAAATTCATACCAGATGACACAGAGTTGACTTCATTGTTTATCGAGGTACAGGACATAATTAGGAATAGGCTTTGTCCAATGTACATAACACACATCCGGTCCCATACCGGTCTGCCTGGGCCTCTAGCACAAGGTAACGCTGAAATTGACCAATTATTGATTGGAAGCGTTCTACAGGCCTCAGAATTTCATAAAAAACATCATGTCAATAGTAAAGGCTTAAAGAAAGAGTTTTCCATTACATGGCAACAAGCTAAGGACATTATAAAGAGATGTCCTACTTGTTCTTTCTATAATCAAACACCATTGCCTGCAGGGAGTAACCCAAAGGGTACTCAAAGGAATGAAATCTGGCAGATGGATGTGTTCCACTTTATGGAATTTGGTAAATTAAAATATGTACACCACACCATAGACACGTATTCAGGTTTTCAATGGGCAACTGCCCTGAGCTCAGAAAAGGCTGATTCGGTAATCACACATTTATTGGAAGTTATGGCCATCATGGGTATACCTGCACAGATAAAGACAGACAATGGTCCAGCATATGTATCTAAAAAAATGAAACGCTTCTTTGCTTATTATAATATAAAACACGTTACAGGTATACCAAATAATCCTACAGGTCAGGCAGTTATAGAAAGATCAAATCGTACTATAAAGGATATGCTAAACAAACAGAAAGGGATGAAAGATACCCCCAGAAATAGATTGCATAATGCTTTATTAACCTTGAATTTTCTTAATGCTAATGAGAAAGGAACAACAGCAGCAGAGAGGCATTGGATAATGGAAAAAACTTCTGAACTAAACCAACCTGTTTATTTCAAAGACGTGCTGACCTCTCAATGGAAGCCAGGAGATGTGCTACGTTGGGGAAGGGGTTTTGCTCTTGTTTCCACAGGAGAAGAAAAATTGTGGATACCATCAAAATTAATAAAGGTTCGATTTGAAGAGGAGAAACCTCTTGGAAAGGAGAAATGACAGCATCTACAATGATGATAACCATACAGGTGGTAAGAAAAGCATATAGAATGGGGGCAGGGTTCTGTTCTTATCTCCACAGGAAAACACTGATCTTTGAAAAGTTCAAGGGACCCTGGATATTTAAATACTGACAGATGGAAAATAACGGCCCAATAGGGACTATCAAGAAAACTGAATAGGTTCTGTAAGTACCATATACTAAATCATATTTCTAAATTTATAGAGCTGGTTTTAGAGTTGGACTCTGGCTCAGTCCCTCTCTAATTCCAAGCCTGTTGTTTAAAGAAAAACCCAGAGTTTCTGGAGTTTCTGTCTCATGTCAAGAGCCATGATATGGGACAGAAAGAAATATGAGTTTAGAAAACATCTTTACTTTTCTTCATATCTATCATACCTTCATTAAATATATCTATCATGTCTCTCATTAAATATAGGTATTCATGTATATGTCTATATAATTAATGTTTAAGTTTTCCACAATGAACAATGAGTTTTTCCTACAGTGACATTTGAAGTTTCCAGGAAGAAGATGGGGCCCCATAACAACAACTCCACCTGGTTGATATGACGTCATGATACTGATAGCGCTACTACAAGACCTGTTTTGGGTACCAGCTGCACAAGACGGTTCCAACGTGCTGAAATGGTGCACATCTTGTACAACATTCTGGCCAGACCTCCACAAAATACTCAGAGACTATTTGCAATTTTAAAAGACATTGATCTTGAAATTTAACCATCATTTTACTTTCACAGGATCCCCCAGAAAGAACGTCGCCCCCATGACAGCTGGAAGTAATTCTAGAGAACGACGTCCCCTCTCCCAATAAAGTTTGTCCTTGGGTTTAGGGACATCATTTAGGGGTTGGTTATAATTAGTATACGGTTGAGGGTTGGGGGAGGAATTTTATAAGCACAGGAATCTTAAAAAAAAAAAAAAAAAAAAAAAAAAAAAAGGAGGGATAATTGGATTATGGGATAAATAGATTTGTACTTGTGAGTTATTGCTTTTAGACAAACATATTGGTATCGATTCTTATATATTGATACAAAGTTAAATTATGTTGACTATTTTATGCATGCATGCTTCATGCTTCTACTTCTGTTTAAAACATTTTTATGTATTTGTATATATATATTGTATTGATATATGTATATTTACCATATTGCATTGTACACTTCTACCTCTGATTAAGATACTTATATATTGTTTATGTATTGATATATATTTACCATATTGCAATGTATACTTGCACATTGTTTATATTTGGAGGTCTCATTGTCCTCATTTATTGCACACTTGTTTATTATCTCAGTCTTTAAGTTAGATAGATATTGAGAATTATATAGATCAACAGTCATCTAAGTTTGTCATTTATAATTAGACTAATCAGGTTCTTTAGATATATAGAGATTATATTCAGTATAGATAGATAATCTTCAACCTCTTCAAAGAGCTGTAGAAAATGGCCTTTAATCTAATTCAGAGTTCTATGGTAGGGAGACACAATCACTCCTGGCAACACTGATCTATGCCCGAGAGAATGTTGAGCACCAAAGACACTCCACCTGGAGCCTTTCTTCTTGGCAGAACTGGCCTTTGGGTAAAGAAATGCTCATACCTCAACTACTGACAGAGTTACAGAATATCCGTAAATGGATAAAACAAGACTGTCATATCCTGCCAAGACAGGGTAAGATAGTTTTGAAGTTTCTTGCCTTTGAAAATGGTATGTCAGTTACATCAGGCCTTAGCCAAAGTTGGTTGCTTCAACGCTGCAAATGTGACTTTGGGTGTTTGTCCAGGTAGCCAGTTGTCTCTGCGATTTGGTACATGTTCTGGAAGTTGTTTGATTGCACTTCCTAATTACTCAGATAACATTATTTCCCTTCTCAGATCTTCGATGGGATTGAAGATTATATAAATGTAGTTACTTTCCTTTCATGACTTGGCCAAGTTATTTGTTATACAAGACTTAAGCTAGTTAGAATAGGATATTTGTATTTATTGTATATAATTTTGTAGGTTTGTACTTATTGTATATAATTGCGTAGTAGGCTTAGAACTCTCTTACTTAAACAAAAGGGGGAGATGCTGTGGGAGTTCCTTCAGCTCCTTCAGCCAACCGCCGCTGAGTTACCAGCCCATTGGGGCGTGGTCTCTCCCTTTAAAAAAAGCAGCGGCTGTCCTCCACTCTCCTTTTGTCTTCCGGCTCCGTTTCCGGCCCCTGGACTCCTTTCCTGTTCGCGCGGAGGGGCTGTTGTCTGGGACGGTAATCTGTAAGTTTTTTCCCCTTTGAATAAATAACCATTCTATTAATCATAATTCCAAACTGGTGTGGGATTGTCTGTGACTTACGCCTTCAATCCTGCCTCAAAATAAACAAACAAAGGACATTTGTGAAGTGAATATTTGACTATTTCCTATTTCTTTTTTTAAAGATTTATGTATTTTATGTACAGAATGTTCTATCTGAACGTATAACTTTATGCCAGAAGAGGGCATCAGATCCCTCTATAGATGGCTGTGAGCCACCATGTGGTCACTGGGAACTGAACTTATGTCCTCTGGAAGAGCAGCCAGTGCTCTTAACCTCTGAGCCATCCCTCCAGCCCCTATTTTTTACTTTTCATGAGACAGGGTCTCGAGTAGCTCACTCTGGCCTTGAACTAGTTAGGCGACTGAGGGTGACTGTGAATTTAGATCTCATCTCTGCATCCCTGCTTCTGGGATTACTGGCATGTTTCGCTACACACAGTTTCTTTTCGTGTTAATGGAAGCAGCACGTAGGGCTTCCTACATGCTAGGCAAATGCTCTACCAACTAAGCCACATTCCCTCGGCTGAATGTTTCATACCTCAGGGCCTAGAGTTTCTTCCTGTTTCCCACAACCGGTTGATATCTTGGTTTTGTAATTGCCAATGCCGAGAACGACACTTTGTATAATGCATTGTACAAAATGGCCAAAGTACGTTAAGGACCATTTCAGGAATTGTTGGAAATTCTGTCCTAGTCCGAAGCTCAATTACAGCCTGTGGTTATTTGTACCGTCCGTGTACTATGTTACTACGTTTCTGCACTGCAGGACCATTTGTGAGCTGGGCAAGGGCCTGGAGATTTAAACACCCCAAAACACACAGACAGAGACAAGGGTCATCCTTGAAACAAGAATGCCCCCCTTAGTGTGTCCCAGGGCAGCTTATATATGGATCCTTAACTGATAGCCACGCCCCAGCCAAACCCACCAGAAACCACTCCCCTGCCATCAGGAGCTCCTGAGGGTCTCGTGCTCAGAGCAGCTGCAAACACGGGAAAACAAGTTGTTTTGCTCAGAGCAGCTGCAAGCATAGGAAAAACAAGTTGTTTACAGGAAATTCAGGGTCTGGGTCCACAGCCCCCAACAGTTAGTATTTATTTTGGAGACCGGGCTCACCTGGTAGCCAAGACTGGCCTTGCCTCTCAGTGCTGCTGGCTCCTCCTACCTCAGTGCTGGGACCGTAGGTCTGAGCCACCGTGCACAGCTTCCTTGGTTCCTTTCTGTGAAAGGACCCTTTAGATTCTTGACGGTATCTTTTGTTTCTTATTGGTTTTCTTACCTCCAGCTAAATGTTTGTAGATCTTCTCATCATTCTTCAAGTGGCTTAGCTGACAATCCCTACTGTTTCCCCGGCCTCTTTCAGCTGTCCCTGGTCCAGCGTGTCACTGTGTGTGGTCTAGAGAGAGTAACAGATTACAGGTGGAAGTATCATTTAGCTCCTCCCGAACGCTATATCTATTAGTGGAGCAAAAGAGAAAATAACCCACCCAGTCAAGTCCTGAGTACATAGACAAGAGAAACAAATCCTCATCAACACACTGTCCTTTTTTTTGGTAGCACTGAAGATTTAATGTGGGCTTTGTGTATGCCAGGCAAGCACGGTCCCATCAAGCTCCATTCTCAGCATGAATTATTCATAATAGCCCCAAGATGGAAGCAGCCAATGCCCATCAATGAAAGAATGACTTTATAAGATGTAGTGTATTGAAAGAGTGGATGCTGTCTGACGATAAAATGAATGCAGGGGCTGTTGAAATGTCGCAGCTGGTGAGAGTGTTTGCCATTCAGGACCTGAGTTTGATTCCCAGAACACAGCGAGCCATGGTGGGAAGAAGAACCAACTCTTGAAAATGATACTCTGATCTGCACACACACACACACACCCCACAATGCCTTCTTCTGACCTCCTCGAACACCAAGCATGCCGGTGATGCATAGACAAATGTATATACAGGCGAAACACTCGTGCACATAATAGTGACTGAAGAAGACTTCCTCACACATATGACATCCTTACATATGCATACACACCGCACACATGTACACCCACACCCACACATCAAACACAGAACATGCACACATACCACGCACATGTACTCACACACCACACACATGTACACATACATACCACACACATGCACATACACACACAGAGAGACACACACACAGAAAGAATGAAAGTTAATATATTGTTATGGTAAGGACCCAGCTTGAGTCTGTAGGGTAAGCGCCCTGTTTGCTCCCCGTCCTCCTACATCTCCAGCATTGCCACAGGTAAATAAAACCATTAAAGCAATCCGTGGTAGGAAAGTACCGGCTTTTCTTTTCAGAGGCAGCCACGGCTGTTCCTGTCCTGCACTCCTGGGCTCAAACCATACTCTTCTCTGGGCAGCTGAGACTGCAGCGTGAGCGAGCATAGGCGCCGACCTTGCCTGCTGCCTTTGCGTGCCTGTTAGGTTGAGATAAAGCAGGCTGGACAGAAGCCATCCTTCTCCTGAGAGCCTCTTCCCTCTTACCCAGGGCTTGGGCTCCAAGTCCCAGCTGCCACCCTGGGTCACAATTCTGTCAGTGTCCGTGAGTCCTCAGTAATTACACTCTGCCGTCCTGAATCCATCTCTCTTCTCTCAACACCTACCTGTGGGTTATTTTACCGTGGATTTCCCAATGCAAATACCTGAAAACACTGGACTTTAGTAACTGTCATCAAAGCGTAGCTGTGAGCTATAAGGGAAGAGTCAGGCAACTGTGTTGTTGTTGTTGTTGTTACTTTGATCCAGCTGTAACCCAGAGTGGCCTTAAAATCACAAAGACCTTGTTTCAGTCTCTAACTTTTTTTAACCTTTCTAAACATTTAATCCCAGCACTAGGCAGGCAGAGGCAAGCAAATGTCCATGTGTCTGAGATCAGCCTGGTCTACAGAGCGAGTTCTAGGACAGTCAGGGCTATTACACAAAGAAACCCTGTCTTGAAAAACAAAAACAAACAAACAAAACAAAACAAAAATTAGCTTTCTAGCTGGTTGTGGTGGCTCTCAAACCTTTAAATCCAGCACTCGGGAGGCAGAAGCAGGAGGATCTCTAAATTTGCAGCCAACATAATCTACAGAGTGAGTTCAAGGATAGCCAGAGCTACACAAAGAAACCCTATCTCAAAAACCCAAGAAAAACAAAAAAAAGAAAATTGTTCCCTCATCTCCATGTTTGTGCACATGCACACACACACACACACACTCACACTGTTGCTACTACTACTACTACTTTTAAAGGATGCAGGCAATTGAAGACATGCATAGGAAGAGATCAGGGAGAGTCGTGAACTTTTGTTTAAAGTTGGAATACGTACAATCCCTTCCACCTTCCACTGGGACTGAGAGAGATCTTATTTGTGTTTTGTGAAGCCTTCCCTTTTCTGTTTGTTTGTTTGTTTGTTTGTTTGGCTTTCTAGAGTCCCAGACACGTCTGCCTCTTTTGTGTTTTGCTTTTGTTTTTGAATTGCAGTTTTATATTTGTTAGTATGAAAGGAATGCACCCCAGAGGCTCTGGCATCTGCACACTTGGTGCCCAGCTAGCAGTGGGGTTGGAGGAGCTCTAGGAGATGCAGCTTTGCCCTCCGGGAATGGCTAAGCACTGACAACAGTGCAGAAATGTGATGGCACAGCGGGACCAGGACGTCAGGGGCCTGAGAGGGAAGCCCACAAGGCCTGTTTGCTTGCATTCTCCCAGGCTTCTCTGGTCAGTCTTCCCATCCTGCAAAACAAAGGTAGGCCCCTTTCAGAACTGAGAGCCTTATGCAAAACAGACAGACAGAGAAGATTAGTTGGTGTGACCTTCCTTAAAGAAGAGCAATTTTAGCTTCCGTGTCTTGCCTTGGGAAGGTAAGTTATGAACAGTGGGAAAAACAGAATATATATTTCTTACATCCTACCCACAGGTGCACACCTTGCTTCAACAAAAGCAAAATTTAATCAGCTAAATATTAAACCTCTGGCCTGTCTTATAATTCTCACTACCTGAACTCAAGAGTTGGAATCTATGCAAAGACAGAGCCGGTTGGTGGTAGTGCGCGCACGCCTTTAATCCTAGTACTCAGGAGGCAGAGGCAGGTGGATCTCTGAATTAGAGGCCAGTCTGATCTACAGAGTGAGTTCTAGGACAGCCAGGGATACACAGAGAAACTGTTTCAAAAAAAAAAAAAAGTCAAAACAAAATAAAAATGGAATCCACACAAAGAAGAAAGGAGAGAACAGACTCCTCACAATTGTTCTCTGACCCTCACTGTTCCAACACAACATGCAGGCACACACAGTAAGAACTAAATTTAAATAATTAAACCTCTGAGATGTATTTATCTACCTTATTATTTATTTTGAGTGTGTGTGCGTTCATGAATTAATGTGTGCCGCTTGTGTAGGAGTTCCGGGAGGCCAGAAGAGGTTGTGGGATTCCTGGAACCGCAGTTACAGATGGTTGCCCGATGCTGGTGCTGGGAACCGAACTCAGGTTAAGGCAAGTGCATTTAACTGCAGGGCCTTCATCCCATTGCTAGGATTACAAGTTTGTGTCACTGTGCCTGGCATTTTTACATGGATTCTGGGGCTTGAACGCGGATCCTCGTGTTGCAAGGCAAAGCCCTTTGCCAACTGAGCCATCATCCGAGTCACTGTATTACTTTCTACAAAGGTGTAAAGATACAGGAATAATAGGTTTTTGTTTGTCATTATTGTTTTGTTTTGTTTTTTAGGATGAAGCACTGTTACAGGGTTTTGTGACAGGGGCTTTGTGTGTATGTTGCTATGTTGTTTTTTGAGACAGGGTTTCTCTGTGTAGCCCTGGCTGTTCTGGAACTCACACAATCTGCCTGCCTTTGCCTCCCCCGTGCTGGGATTAAAGGTGGGCGCCACCACTGCCTGGCTTGTTTTGTTGTTTTAAAGAAGGCCTAGTGCAGCCAAGGCTGGCTTTGAATTTGCGTGTAGGGAGAGATGCCCCTGAATTTCCGACCCTCCTGCCTCCACCTTCTGAGAGCCAAGATTACAGAAGTGCACAGCCATGTCTGGTTTTACCCACTGGGATTGAACCCAGGACTCTGTGCATGCTAGGCAAGCGCTCTGCCAACGGAGCTCCACCCTAGTTTCAAATGGAGGTTTTTTTTTTTTAAGGAAAGACTTTAATATGGCTCAAACACAGAAGTAGGAAGTGAGGGCAGGGAGATCAGGCATTCAAGGCCACCCTGAGCTACGTATTGAGTTCAAAGTCAGCATAGGCTACATCAGACACTGCTTCAAAAATAAAAATAGGGTCAGCAAGATGACCCAGTGGGTAAGGTGCTGGCCACGAAGGAACCCACAAGGTGGAAGGAGAGAAGTAAATCCTGCAAGCTGTCACCTGACTTCCCTACATGTGCCATGTACACACAACACACACACACACACACAATACAGACACAATACACACAGTGATGATGGCTGGGCTTGCTCCTTCCAGCATGAGTGTCTTAGGGGACAGGTACCTTTACCCTTTACGTTTAGACAGCCCTGTTTGGTTTTCTTTTGTTTTTTTTTTATTAAATTTTTTAATTTTTATTTTTTTAAAGATTTATTTATTATGTACACAGTGTTCAGCCTCCATGTATGCCTGCAGGCCAGAAGAGGGCACCAGAACTCATTACAGATGGTTGTGAGCCACCATGTGGTTGCTGGGAATTGAACTCAGGACCTCTGGAAGAGCAGTCAGTGCTCTTAACCTCTAAGCCATCTCTCCAGCCCCTCTTTTGTTATTTTTTTTTAGATAGGGTTTATATTTTGTAACCGGAGTTGGCCTGGAGCTCAGACTGACCTCAGATTCTCATTAATCCTTCTGTCTCAGCGTTACAATTATTGGGATTATAGGTACTCAGCAAAAATAACTGATGTATAGAGTCATGAAACCACCACTGTATTCAAGATGAACACGTAGGTCTCCCCAAAACTGGCTCTTATCCCCACACTGTCACTCCTACCCTGTCCCGAGACACCACAGCCTACCTTTCTGTTATTATAGAGCGTTTCTATTATAGTGCGTTTTCTAGGATAAATGAAATTCTACAGGGTATTTTTTATCTTAGATTCTTTTTACCCAGTATCTCTGGGTGCATGCTGCATATATTAACTGCTGACTCCTTTAATTGGTCAGTAGGAGCCTATTGTATGGTTGTTTGGGGTTCATCTGCTGAGAGGGACATGCGAGTCATCTCAGGATCCCCACTCTTGTACACTCTGGATATTTTTCTCATTCTGGGATTACAGGTGTTCAGCACCAGTCCCTGCATGACAGATGATACTCAATAAAGCTGTTAAAACACTAATCTGGGGGGTAGCGGAAAGCTAAGGACTAAACCCAGGGCTTCACGCATGCTACGCTTGTGCTTCACCACTGAGGTAACCTCAAAACGCTAAATGGTTGGGTTTGGTTTTGTTTTCCTCTATAAGGGAGCTGGAGATCAAACCCAGGGCCTCCTGAGGAATAAGCATGAGATCTGCCATCGATTCGCCTTTGGGCTCTGTTCCACCTTGGTGTTGGTTTTGTTTGTTTGGAGACAAGGTCTCACGCAGCACAAGCTGGTTTTGAGTTTACTGTGTATCTAAAGATGGAGAATGACTGCCCTCCTGGCCCTATTTCCTCCTCCGCGCCCTCCACCCTGAGGGCTAGCGCTGGCAAACTGGGCTGCACATCTTTTTTTTTTTATTTCAAAGATTTTTATTTATTATACATACAATGTTCTGCCTGCATGTATGCCTGCAGGTCAGAAGAGGACACAAGATCTCATTACAGACGGTTGTGAGACACCATGTGGGTGCTGGGAATTGCACTCAGGAAGAACAGCCAGTGCTCTTAACTGTTGAGTCTGGGCTGTAATTAATCTCTAAAAATCAACTTTAGAATTAGACTAGGTGTTGCATACCTAGAATTCCATACTTGGGTGGTAGAGGCAGGAGAATCTGGAGTTCAAGGTCGTTCTCCGCTACAAGGAGCGTTTGGGCCAGCCTGGGCTAACTCAAAAGTTAAAAAAAAAAAAAAGCTTTGGGTGTGGTGGCGCACACTTTTAATCCCAACTCTTGGGAGAAAGTGAGAGAGGGAGGGGGATCTCTGAGTTCCAGGCCAGTCAGGTGTACACAGTGAGACTCTGTATCAGAAAGAAGAGGAAGGCATATTGGGGAGGAGAAACAATGTGATCAAAATATACTGTGTGAAAAGAGTTTATTTAATTTTTTATGTCGAGTCAGGGTTTTTCTGTGTGACAGCCCTGGCTGTCCTAGAACTTGCTCTGTAGACCAGGCTGGCCTTGAACTCACAGAGATCCACCTACCTCTGTCTACCAAGCACTGGGGTTAAAGGCATGTGCCACCACCACCTGCCTATTATTTTTATTGTACTACAGCTCCTTCTGAAACGC